GCCTGGAAGGAGTGGAGTTCCAATGCAGTTTCGCTTGATATTTTCCGGCCTGGTCATGTTGCAGTTTGGAAATACAGTTCCTTTGTGTGGCGTCGGTTGCAGCAGTTTCTAAACCCCGGCCGGGAGCGACGTGCTGGAGGCACAAATCTTTTTTCCTTACCATAATGAGATTCGCTAAAAAAAAATGGAAATCATACTGAGCTATTACCGCCGCAAGGGAAAGTTAGATTACGAATATTTTGGCAATTTTTTGTAATAACAGTCGTTCTTCACCCGGGATAATAAACGTATTTCTGTCACCGTGATGGATTGCGGCGGCGAGGCAGCGGATCGCGAAACGCAGGATAAACCGCCGAGGTCCTTCTCAATGACGCGACCTGCTCCCCCTCGAAACCCGACCCTCGCGCCGTCCCCGAGACCCTTGATCATGCCCTGAAGAAAGCTTGTGGACCTGCTTGATCATGCCCTGGAAACGCTTACGGAACTGCGCTTGTTATGCTTCTCTTGGACCTCATTGCGGAAATGCTGATGAAGCTTTAAACTAATAGATGGGTAGTTTTGATGAATGAATACAATATATATGCTAGGAAGACCAGGAGAACAAGCAGGGCCACGCTAAATATATTTCTCTCGGAGCATATTCCATTTTGCAGAGAAATGATTTGAATAATGAATTGAGTGAACGAATAAAGATATATACCAGGAAGACAGGTAGACACCAGGAGGCCCATCAGCGCGCTAATATTTCTGCCTGTGGTTCCGCGCTGATGGTTTTGGCTTCCTGCTAATGGGAAAATAATAGCCTGGTAGGGAACCGTGCAGCTCCTCTCCCTGTTTAACAAGGTCATGTGGCAGGGCGGCCTGGGCAAGAGAGGAGGGCGTGAGTAGGGGGCCAGGGGCAAGAGGTACAGTGCAAGGGGCAGGGGCAAGGAAGTGAGAGTAGAAGGCAGGGGCAAGGGGTGAGAGTAGAAAGGCAGGGGGCAGGGCAAGACTGTAGGAGGTAAGGCAGGGCGAGACTAGAAGGTAAGGGGCAGGGTGCCATAAGTGAAGGCAAGGGACAGGGGGCGGGAGTAAGGAGTAAAAGTAGAGGAGGGGACGGGTTGGTGGTAGGGGCTAGGCGTATGCAGCAGGGTGGTACAGGGTAGGGGGCAGAGAGTAGGATTGATGGCAGAGGCAGGGGGGGGGGGGTAGAGGGTGGCATGCTCACCTGTTTGATGAAGAGCAAGCTGGTTTTTCTTCCGCGTTCTCTAGTCTCTGTTTTTTTGTCTCGCTCTCTTTTCTCTCGTCGTCATTAGTTCTCCCAGTTTCGTGGTTGTATTCTGCTCTCGTACTGCTTCCAGGGTTGGAGTTGTTTACGATCATGTCTTTTTCTCTCTCTCCCTCTCGCTCCCTCTCCCCTCCTTCCCTCCCTCTCCCTCTCCCCCTTCCCCTTCCCTCTCTCTCCTTCTGCCACTCCCTTCCTCTCCCTCTCCCTCTCTCTGCTTGATATCAGTCCTATGCCATCAGAGCAGGCAGGTGGAGGGGCAGGGGCAGGGGGCAGGGGGCACGCCTTTGTGGGTTGGAGGGTCAGCCAAGGCAACCTCTGACCTCGCGTCCCCATCAACAATAACAAAGTGTAATGCTCAGGCTGTATTGGCATCGTCGGGCTCTTGCTTCACTACTGACACACTTACACCTGCACATTTACATTTTTTCACGTTTACGTGCTTTGGTTTGCTATTGCTGCGAATGGATGGATGGATAGAAGATGGATGGTGGGTAAGTGGGGAGAGAATGATGGATAGGTAGATGGGAATATCCTTGTTTTGGATTTATGCATTTGTTAGCAGAGGATTTAGGAATTCGCCGACTCACGTGAAGTCCGAGCACGAATGCCTTCCCGCTCGCCCTCACCCACTCGCCCCAATTCGGCGCATCGGGGCTCGTGAGCTCGGGCGCCGCGCCGCCAGGACTCGGGCTTTGTTCCTGGGTTCCGACCGGCTTCGAAGGACGCTCGGCTCGGCCCCCCGTCGCCGGACCCGTCTGATTATAGGCCTTCGCGGGCGGCGGCTCGCCATTTTGGGCGTGCGCTGTCGTAACTCATCGAAAGAAGCCGTTAATAGGCGACGTGGCACCCCAGCGGGCCTCCATTTAAACCTCCCGCCGTGACGTCACAGAGACAGATGCGGGCGTGGACCTCGCCGGCGCAGAGACGTCCTATTATTATCCCATCCGCATGCTAAATCGGCTCGCAGATGTATCCAATCGATATTCCATTTCGACTCGTCGTAAGGATCAGAAAGGACAAAGTCAGCCCTATTAACCGAACCAGTTGCTTGCGCGCGCGCGCGCGCGGGGGCAAGATTTCTGGCGCCGCTCTTGGAGGGCGGGGAGGGGGGGGGGGGGGGGTCAGCCAATCACGCGCGCCTCGGGCCTTTTGAATTTAAAAGGTCAAAGTCAGTGCAAGTCGCGACCCGTGGCGGCACTCCGGCGAAATGTATCCCGAGATCGGCGCGGGATA